CCTAGGCCCCAATAACTCCCCTTATACCCAGACCCACATCGGCCACACGGCAAAACGGGACGGCAGAAATCCCCTGAGCACGAAAACAATCCCAGCGACCGGGTTTAGGGTTCTGGTGGGGCTACCGGGCCCCCAAGTAGTTCCTTTTTATGGTTCATATTTACATAGAATAGAACCCTATAAGGCAATCCCAACAAGGAACTACTTAGGGGCCTATGGGTAGTCTAACCCTAGGCACGAAAGTTGCTAGCCCTCAAACCCCTGAGGTCTTCGATGTGACTTTCGGAATCTGGGTTCTGTCCATCCATCCCTACACGGACCTGGCAGAGCCTTGGAATTGACAGCAAGTTGAACATATCGTAGGGCTTTTTTTAGTGTGTCACAGGGTTTTATGCATGATGTGCTATTCCGTAGGCCTTGTTGTGTTACTGCTATAGTATACCCTCAGGATTCTAGACGATACGTATTTTATACATTGTTTCTGGTTTAGCTGAAGGCCGAAAGGTTCGTGGGACTTAGTAACTGGGGCTATGCATACGGTAGTTCTAGGTACAGTTGCTTCGCGCACAATGTGGAGGCACTTATAGCCACACTGGGCCATACTTATTAAATTGGCCTGATCCTCCAAGTCGAGATCAGTGTTCACGGCTATACTGCTCAGGGCATGTAAGATCTTATACCAACACCCTCAATCCTTATTTATGTATCCAATACCCAATCAACGTTTTAACTGTTTGGGGGTTCTTATACTTCATTGTGAACCCAAAAATATATCTGGGGTATCTTTTGAAAGTAACCGCAACTGCAGGCTTCTAGGAAGATATGTTCGGATTTCGGGTTTAGCAATGGCGGGGGCCACGAGCTTTTGGCCGAGGCGTGCAGTTGCATAGGCTACATGCCTAGTCGCTGAAGTAGCTTTGCAGGGCACCTTTAACTTAAAGCCAGCATTATTCGCAACAAAATAAGAACAACAGCCAACCATAGTTGTGGTAAGCTAGGCTGAGATGTTCAGTTGCATGCAATCTGACAGACCCTAAACCCCTAAGCCCTAAACCCCTAAATAGAACGCCTAGCTCCTGAACGCTAACCACACAAAGCACAGAACGCCCAATTGTGACGTCGTTGCCGCAGTCTTCCCGGGCTCAGCTGGATGATGCAGCTCTGTATATCAGCTTGCAAGATGTAGAAAGCAAGAAGGTAGCTAGCACTTCAGTCTGGTGGCTGCAGTCCGTTTCTTGGTTCATCTATCTGCGAAGTCATAGTTACAGAGCCGATTATCCAACAGCAAACCAGTGTGCCCCAGCAAAAAAGGCTTAGAGAACGGCCTTCCTGGCGGCCATGCAACGCCTGAGCTGGCTCTTGCTTGGCACTCTTCGACTGGCAGGTGCAGCTTGGAGCCTCGTGTCCAGTGATGGTCCCGGTGGCATGAATGCCGCAACGGTTCACGATTGCCAGACGGATCTCTGGTACCATAGAAGCCTTAAAACTTTATAAGGGAAGTAGTATATACTATCATATTATACTACAACTAGGTTCCTGAGTTTCACTCGTTTAATCCTCTTTATTGCATGGTTGCCTTACTAAAACCGAGCATCAGGAGCACAGGGTACCCTTATAAACGGGATGACCCAGGAACCTAGATAAGTACATCGAAAACTCTGAACCATAAGGTACATGGGTAGCTTTGTAACTTGGGGTCCCTTTTATAGCGTCCTTTGCGTTAGGGTGCCGCACTCTATTGGGGACTGCAAAAAGACCCTGTTGTAGAGAACTGCCCAAATGATGGCCAACTCTCAGGATGTTTCCATAAACCCTGAACCCTAAACCCTACACCCTAAACCCTGAACCCTAAACCCTGAACCCTCAGGATGCTTGGTGGTACTTGCCGTTTGGCGGGTCGAAGTTGTGGAAGTTTAATGTGGTGAACGAGACATGGACGGAGGAGGAAAAGGGGCGTAGAGCTCCTAAAACGGATCCTGAAAGGGGTCTTATAAGGGGGATATGGGATATGAAACTTAGTAAGTAGGCTCCTTAAAGGGATCCTTAGGGGTTCATGTGGGGGGCGGGGGGGGTTGGAAGTTCATTAGGGTTTAGGGTTCTTATAAATCTGGAAAATTACTGCTTGCTAGGTCCCCCGACCCTCCAAGTGAGACATGGACCGGCGAGGACGGCAGTCCGCCTTCAGTCAGCTCGAATGGCCAAGGCTGCGTGGCACCAGACGGACAAGGACCGATTAGGGTTTCGGGTCGCTCAATCTTTCCCAGAACGGGACCTTAACCTATGCTGCATGGATTAGAACCCAAACCTAAACCCTAAACTCCTCAACCCTAAACCCTAAACTCCTCAACCCTATACCCTGAACCTTAAACTGTGCTGAGGAAACCTCTTCGTTTTCTCTGGCGACAATACGGCGGACCTTTGGAAATTCCAGATCCCTTGGTTATTCAATGGTTTTGGGGTTTAGGGGTTTTGGGTGTAGAGGTTTAGGGGTTTTGGGGTTTAGGGTTTAGGGTTTGGGGGTTTAGGGGTTTGAAGTTCAGAGGTTTAGGGGTTTTGCGTTTTTGGGTTTAGTGTTTAGGGTTTAGGCGTTTAGGGTGTTCAATGATTTGTGGTTTTAACTTGTTTTGGATTCAGTGTGCCGTTTATACTCCCGCTAAGTCCCATGTGCCCAAATAGCAGATTCTTTTGGCCTTAAAGCACCGAAGTATACCCTATTTGGGCACATGGACCCTTAGGATTCTTACCAATGACCAGCCTAGGATCGCAAGCTCTTCATGGAGTCGTGTTTCGCAAGATGGTGGGCCACTGCGTCGTTGGGGCCACCATGTTTTCATCGACAGCAGCAACTAGGTACCCAAAGGGGTCCTAAATACGTGTCTAGTCGAATCTATATTTCTATATATGATAGGAATCACTGTTCTGATTTGGGAAAGTATCCCCATACCGGTACCTAGGACCCTTTGGGCTAGAGCTGTTGAAAACGTTGACCATTTCCGGTTATCGCTTGAAAGCCCTTGGAACTTAGAAAGTGAGGTTACACTTGTATGACTGTATAATCCTATTTTGACCTAAACCCTAAGGCCCTAAACCGTACTATTTTGCAACGCACAACCGCCACCCAGGCAAGAGAGTTTGGATTTATGGTGGCTTCAACTTCGAAGGGGGATACAGCCAAGATGGTGAGCTTTGGCATTTCACGCAGGAGACTTCTTCATGGTTCCAGGTCGATGACGGAAGCGCTCGCGAAGCTGTATGCTCAGGAAGTGGAGATATTGATCGTGGCGACATTTTCTGGCAGTTCGGGGGAAGATTCTCAAACGGAAGATGGTCAAATGCCATGTGGAGCTTGGACACGAATGCTGCATTGTGGACGGAGGTCGATTCCGGTAGTTCGGCTGGAAGTCTGGGCCGCTTCTGGATCTTTGCGGGGGAGGGCGGGAATGCGGATCTTTGGTCCTTTGACACTGTACTTGGTGGGTGGACCCTTCATGACTCTGGCAGTGGACCAGACCAGCGGCAAAGCCACTCCTCTTTCGTGGATGTAGCTGGCCGATTCTACGTCTACTCTGGCGCCTTTACTCCAGCAGAGCTCTGGCGTTATCAGCCCTCCATTCTGGGACCCAAGGCCTGTGAAACATCTGCTTCGAAAGTATCCGTCATCACTGCGGTCGGGGAGCTAGATGAACCCAGCCTCGAACTGAGCGTGGACGGCCACAACATCTCAATGCAGCTTTTGCTCCCGACCCTTCCGCTTCCATCCTCCCTGGTGGGAGGTGAGAATCTAACATGGAGGATGGATATTTCTTTGGCCTCGGAGAATTTGGAACCGAACTCAGCATGCGATATATGGACGCCGTCGAATGTCACGCACACCGCTCGTTTATCTCACACTGAATTACGGCAAGCGTGTGCTCTCCCGGAGACGGTGTATTATAACTCGACTGATGCTGCCTGGATTCAGGACCTAAATCCTAAAGCCTAACCCTTAGCATCAAAATAGCCCAAAAGCCATATATATATATATAATAGGGTTTTGGGGCCCAAAAGAGCCCTTACAGTATGAGTCCTTTGAGGGTAAGGGTAAACCTTCAACCCTGAACCCCGGGATTCAGGACGGCTTCTTGGGCATCTTCGCAGTTTCGGAGGCTCTGCTGGAAACTGTTGCTAGGCCGCTCTTGAGCATGGCCGGGGGTTTGGGTTTTAGGGTTATTAAGGCGAATGAACTTCATTTAAGGTACCATAATAGGGTTCTATTGTAGGTGCGTAAGAGGGTTTCCTTTATTATGGCAGCTTAAATTAAACTCCTTAACAACCAAAAATATGACTGCTAAGTGGAGTAGCAGTAGTAGTAGTAGTAGTAGTAGTAGTAGTGGTGTAGCACTGTACTGTAGCCCGAAGGATCCACCCGGAAACCCTACACCCAACAAGCCATCAGCCGACCGCTTATGCTTATCCCCACAACCGTAAAGCCAATAAACCCCCAAAAGGCCAACGATATAAGAGTCCGAATACTTAGTAATGCTGTCCCGTATGGTTCCTTACCAGAACTGCAGTACTGCAGTGTACAACAACGACGCCCCCTAGCTCTATTCCAACATTTAAGGCTCCCGCTTGAAGCCCCAAGCCCTTCAACACAACACTCCATGCCCTTAAGCCTTAAACCCTCGAAATCCAAGCCTTATAAACCCCAAATAAGCCGTGGGCCCTGAACCCTGAATCTGCAATGAAATGGTAAACCCCTAAACCACGAGCCCAGGTGGTCTTGGGTGCCTTTAAGCTTTCGAAGGTCGTGATCGACTCGGTCGCCCCTTGCTTTTACTGCCACTAGGGTTTAGGGGTTCAGGGTTTAGGTCGACGGTTCGAGGGTTCGATTTCATGGCCTTTTTTCGGGTTAGGAATCTTTAGGGCATATAGGAGGTTTCCCTGAAGGGTTCTGTAAAGGTCTAGGGGTTATGCTATATATGAGTCAGTTTCATCGTATCTCTTAGAGAGAGGCGAGGATGTGGGTCATACCCTTGCGGATGGCCTTTGCCACCCAGCCTTCCAGCCTGCCGGAAGACATGTTCGTGTTGAAGCACTGGAATGGGAAGTGCGTTCGCGCGGAATCTGGAAGCACAAACCCCGGAAATGACGATCGTCTCGTGTTCTCCGACTCGTGCAACACGTCAACCGCTCTGCTTTTCAAGAAGGTGTACTTTCAGAGTGGCAGCGACTACTTCAACCTCCAGCTTCAGAATGGCAGATGCATCCATCCTCTAGGGGGCTCGGCTTCCATGAATAACCAGCTGGTGTTTTGGGACTGGTGTGGAAAAGACTCTAATGACGACAAGACAATGTTCACCTTCGTGGCCGAGGGGGCCGACTTCGTTTGGAAGCACAGGGAGACCGGCAACATGTGTGTGCATCCCTACCTTGGCACTCCTCCTGTAGACGGCCAGTACTTGGTCCTTTTTCCTGACTGTAGGCCGTCTACCAAGCTCTTCTTCACGGAAGTGAATCCTCTTACAGACTCTTCCACGGTGAGGTAATCTCCTAAGGGTCCAAAGGACCCAATTTAAGGGTACTTTGGTTGCGGATAGTAGTTATACTAGGTTTATTCGTTGGGAGAGTATATGATTATTCGGTACTTGGACCCTTAGGGATCGACAGTAGAGCCGTGCCATGTGGTAGCGCAACGGGCGCACAATGGAGCGATGCAGTAGAGAGCAGACATCACTGCGAAGCTGCGTGGCTTTCCTTATGGGAGATGGCAAGGTCATGTCGAATGCGTCGAAGTTTCTCAGCTCCTTTTTGCCCTAGTTGAAGACCAGGGTAGTGTTCTGTGCAAAGCTAGACAAGAAGATAATGTTACGTCAGTGAAGCCTCGGGATCCGGCACCAGAGGACATCTTGGGCGGATCCTAGTGCTGGCAGTCGCGAAAAGGTGTCACGCATCGCACCTACTATCTAGGCCTGAAGCAGCACTGCTAGTATTCCTTAGGGCTCCTGAATATGTAGTTTATACTTGCATGAAGCTACATGGCAACATACCCCCAGATCATATTCGAACCATTGAAGGCCCCTACAGGTGAAATTTCTGTTGCATAAAACAACAAGTAGCAAAAGCGGCGGCTTGATCCGCAGACTGTGTAGTAGCAGATGTCTTTCATACTGACATGAGAGGCTTGATGACCAGTGCTAAGCCCTATACACCCTAAGCCCTGCACCCTAAACACTAAGCCCTGTACCCTAAGCCCCACATCAAATTTGAAGATGACGATACATCTTGTGCGGGTGCTTTGACGGCTTCAAGAATCCCCCTTTAGGGGTCGCTGTAGGAGTTCCATAAGGGGCTTTTGGGTTTAGGGGTTTAAGATGTCGTGTATAATACTTTTGGACTTAGAGTGGTTCCTTTATATCCCTGGGGCTCCAAATAGCCCAAAGTAGGTCCTATTTATAGACTTTAGGCCCCAAAGTAGGTACCATTTGCATACTTGGAGCCCTTGGGTATAGGAACCTCCGGGGGCCATTGCACACGCTATTTAGGCACATGAAGCCTTAGGGGATACTTTTGTCGGCACAGCGCTGCTTTCATTCCTCTTTAAATCTCCTAGACCCGGATCTTGAAAGCAGAACTGCTACCTACAGCCCGAAACCCGTAAACTTATTAAGACTATTTCCTATTTCCTATACACGCTCACCCTAAGCCCTGAACCAAAGCTGCAACCCCCTCGCCCGAACACCTCAAAAATGCTCGGACTTACAAGCTAGTCTCCAAAGCCCATACTGCGTTAAGGCAAGTACGACAAGCGTGAGCTCCGATCGCCGCCAGCAGGCTCAACGAAGTTTTGAGGGTCTGATGGGCTCACCCTAACCCTAAAGGTCCATGTGCCCACCTGATACATATTGGCCTTAAAGTCCCCACACCGGGACTACTTCAAGACCTAATTCGTTTTTAGCACATGGACTCTTAGGGTAAGGGTCCAACAATGTCAAACTCTCATTGTATGAGGACTATTGATGCATACCTGCTTGCTTGGATTACGCTTTGAGGGTTAATAGCCGCCTAAACCCTTAACCCTAAACCCTAAAGGTTGTGAGTATTCCTCTAAACCCTAAACCCTTGACCCTTAGCCCTTAACCCCAATTGAGACAACAAAATAAGTCTCTCTGGGCCCGAATGGCTCCGGGCTGTTCACGCGCCAGTAAAGGAACACCTAAGGGCACGAGGGTATCGATGATTCATATGGATAGCTGGTTAGTTCTAAGAAATGCCACCCCCAAAAAGTCTTGCTGTACTTATTTAAAGCTTAGGCTACTGGCCAGCATCTAAGTATTTCAAGGTTGCTTCTGAGGCCTTGCATCGTTTGAAAGCTGATGTTCTGTCAGTTTGCAGATCATTGGCAGGACTGCCAAATCCCAGGAAATACAGGCTGCCAGTGGCTGAATGGTGAGGTCCTCATATCCCGCACATCATGCATACTATAGAAGTCTAAATAAATACCAATATGTTCATTAGGGCTTCTTATAAACACTATGCTATGAAGGTGCCCAAAACCCTGTTCTAATTTATCAAGGCCCCTACATTAGGCCATCGAGGCCTTCGGTCGATCTCAAAAGCTCCCAGACTGCCCGCATTGAGGAGGGTTTAGGGTTTAGGGTTAGGGTTTGGGGTTTAGAGTCCATACTGTTGATGATCAAAATCCTGCAGGACCCTAAACTATGGGAATGATGGCAGATTCCTTCTTATGGGTAATGCAGGATTTGCATCATTAACCATATGCCCATACCGTAGAGAGATTGACCTCAATGGGATTCCTATGTTTGGTACTTGCTCCCAAGCCACGTAAGTCAATCAAGCATTCAACCAAACAATCAAGCAGTTTATCTGCCAATCAATCATCCAACCCACCTGCGGCTACCTATCTATCTATCTATCTATCTACCTATCTATTTTTCCACCTGTCTATCTATCTATCCTATCTGTCCGTCTGTCCGTCTGTCCGTCTGTCCGTCTGTCCGTCTGTCTGTCCGTCCGTCCGTCTGTCTGTCTGTCTGTCTGTCTGTCTGTCAACCAATCAATCTATCTATCTATCCTATCTGTCTCCGTGTCTATTTATGTGTCTGTCTATCTATCTATCTGTCTATCTATCTCTATCTATCTATCTATCTATCTATCTGAATCTATCCATCTATCTAACTAGCTATCTATATGGATAGAGGACATGTATACATACATGTATACATATTGTTAGTATCGTCCAAACAGAAAAGGCAGACTCAATGTTGTGAGTGTGTACAGCTCACTAGGCGGGTCAGTTTTCTGTTCTTCCCCACATAGCCCCAGTAAGTCCCACCTCAAAAATGGTCGCCAGGGCCCACAGTTCAGATGTGGTAAAGTCGTGTATACGTTGATTTTTCCACCCTAAATCTAAAAGCCTGCACCCTAAAGCGCAAAGCCCTGAAGTTGAAACCCTAATGCACTACACTTCGACCCTAAACCCTGATAAAAATCCCCGCGCCCTAAACCCCAACGTATCTACTTTGACTTTAAAACCTCAACCATATGCCCTGAACCGACCTTTTCCGGATTCCTTCAGGGTTTAGGGTTTAGGGATACATCGGCGCATCTTGGAGGTGCCGTGTGATGCGGATGCCCTTTGCTACAGCTCGGAGATGATCAAATGGACAGGACGCCTGCTTAAAAGAAGCCCTAAACGTTAAGGGTTTAGGGTTTAGGGGGAGGTTGCTGTTTGTTACCAGTAGGGTTTGGGGCTTTGGGGTTAAGGGTTCGGGGTTGAGGAACTGAATGATATTAAAATCTAGCTCAGAGACCAAAGCACTGAACACCTCATTTTTTTGGCATGCCCTGCATGGTATATTTAAATATACTTCAGAAATGAATTCCATCTTAAGGCTGGGAAGCTTCTGCAAAGCGCTTCTTTGGCTTTGCCGCTTTGTCTACATCCTTATTCCCGCCTTTATTTGCTAGTTTTGGCAGGGTATGTCTAAAACCAGTGTTTCCTGCAACAACGTGCCTGTTCCTTATCTCTAGACTTCCAGGGATTGTAGTTATGCAGACTAGTACTTAGGAGATTATACGATGATCCGGTAGTTGCAGCCTTGGGGTGACTTGATGCTTTTTTTGAGATATCGGCTGGATTTAGTTTAGGGCTTCCAAAGGCGATCTGGGATTCGGGGATTTTGGTTTTGATCACCCCTTCTTCTCTCCTACAAAACCGAAAACCCGAAAGTTAGGATTTTGCTAAATTAGGATAAAGGCAGCCGGACCGCGACTAACTACGAGGCACCATGTGCCAACCCTAAACCGTCAACCGCATTCTGTAATTGCCCACGTAGACCGTGTTCATTTTAGGACTTGGAGTGCTGGGATGCTAACGGAGACGCAGCAGCCCTCTATCTTAGCTACGACAGCCATATATGGTTGGGGCCTTTGCAACTGGAGTTGTTGGAGTAGATTGACCTTGTTTCGTTTTTGTCCCTCCTCTGAAAATTACCACTACCGCTCAAAGTGGAAATCCCGCAATCTGGTTGACCTAGATCCCTGGAACTTATCATTGATCGAGGTCCGGACATTACCGATGCTTCTCGCAGCTCGATCTTGCCCGAGAGTGCCAGCAGGATGATGGTTGTTTAGGATGACCTCGTAGTCCCGATAATGCGAAGGTATGAGAATTAAGACTTATGCATCTGGTTGTTTTGGGCAGCATTTTGCCAAGTCTTCGACTGGCAAGTGAATCATCGTCACATTGTCAGATTGCTCTCTTTTCAGGAGAGACGCTCTAAGTAGCATAGCCGCAAACATAGCAACTGGAATAGGCAAGTTTACACATCTTACTGACTCCCATTTCCTGGAACTTATACTGCTAAACCCAAGCGGAAGCGTGAACAGCATTTCGTGACGATTGAGGCACCATGGACTGTCATGGCTGGAGGTAGCAGTGAGTTCGGACGACATGTAGACAAAAGCGGAATGTCAACTTAGGCCCAGGCGACCGAGCACGTACTAGATCTCTTGCATTATGCGGTTGCCAATCACTGCCCGTCCAAGTTGCGTGATGCTTGACATTAGTTCTACCAGTATGGTTGGTGGAAGCATGGTACGCATAACTGCAAGCCACCTGGCGCTGTGCAAGTAGATCAAAAAGCTGCGGTAGCAAGACAGTCAGCATGCAATCTGCCACAGTGATATTGCACACTTCATGTCCACGTCACTAAAATGAATGATGTTGTTGTTTTACGACATTCGAAGGCCGTCCCGAACCCAAAATGTGCTGCAGCTTTCGCTTTCTACTAGCGCATTGACCCCGGAATTTGTTGGGAGCCTCCACACACTGGTTTTTCTTCGTGTTGGACCGGAAACACTGAGCCGGTTGTCGCGGGCACCCGTCGATAACTGCCGCTGCATGCGTATCGCGTGCGTTGGAGTCTGGGTTGGTCGAGGCGTAGGATCGTAGGGTCATGAAAGCAGTTGTTCGCAAATTCGTAAATTAATTCTCTTGGTCTTGCACTGCAAGCTGCAGGTCTGA